CCGCCCGAGAGGTAGGAAACGCGCTGGGGTTTTTTGCGTTCCCAGTGCGGCTCAGAGACCCCCTTGCCGGCACAGTTCCCCCTCACCGGGGGACCCGCGCCCTGGGAGAGCTGCCCGGCGCGCGGTAGCCTCTGCACGAGGTGGCCACGCACAGCTTCTTCTGCCTAGCATTTTGAAATGCGTACAAAAGTACACCCAACGGGCACTCAAATACGTGATTAAGTTTAAGATCCGTCAGCTTCACTTTTAAAGTCGCCATTAGCATTTGATGTGGAATTTATGGCGGTATTTAGATTGTGGACAACATCTGTTTGGACTTGTATGGGCTTTTAAACCCATGAAGTGATACATTAATTGACTGCTCTGTTTGAGTAGAAAGTTTTCACAGTCTCGGTTTAGTCTGCAGCCATTTTCTCCATAGGCATAGAGGGGGTTAAGGACGACTGTGTAGTAAAAATAACTGTACGATGTTAATTTTCTTCTTTATTCTTTGTAAACAGGAGATTCAGATATGCACCTTGGTTTGGCCCAGCATTGCAGGAGAAATAGTTTGGGATGTGACCTTTGCCGTTGTTTTCTTTCTAATACCAGGATTAGTCATTGTCATCAGTTATTCCAAAATCTTACAGGTATGTTTTTCCTTTACATTTGGTTGTAGAGCGAAGGGAGGTAAGCAGTAACTTCCTAGGCATCAACATGTTGTCACTGAATACAAATGCACCTAAAGGGAATAGACATCATTTGCTCAGTAAACGGTAAGTATCTGATACAAGATGAGGCACTTCAGCCTGTGCAGAACAGCCTATACGTTTCAACTAAGGACATGCTTGAACAGCACATTACCAGAAGCCCAACACAATGTTTGTCTTCATTTGTATATAGTATTTAATACACTTCTCCATTTATGTGCTGTTCATATTTAGAGACTGTCAATCTCCTAAATGCTAAAAGCATCAAGCATTTGAAATAACTAAAAGCTAGATTTTGCTTTCCTTGAGCCTAAACTCCAGAGTCACAAGGCATTTGTAAGAAAGCAAAGAGAGGCAGCGCTAGAAAAAATCCATCCCCTTTTAGGTCTACTGCATTTCTGCATGTATTTTTAGTACACAGATCTTGTTAGATTACGCTTATTCCTCCACAATTTCAAACTTTGCAAACCAAAACAGTAAATTAAACACTCTGCTTCCATTTTCCTCTCTGAGTGGATGGTGTTTAACTGCTGAAATATAGGCCAAGACACCAGGCACCACAGAGTTTTAATCTATACTCTAGCAAGCATGATATTAGTTACCTAAATTCCTTTTAAAACATCTGATTTCATACACCTTCCTCATCCAAAACCAGAGTGTGCAAGAGCTAGAAATCTCCAAACTAGGTGCTGCAATGCCTAGTTTTTAGCAACTGCCCCCAGAAGATTCTTGATTCCTGTATTAGGTAATTAAACTTCTCATATTATATATAGGGAAAATTATAGGTTTTGGAAAGGAACTTCAAAATACACAGATTACTGAGTAGGGAATTAACTGATGAAAGGCTGTGGGTACACGCACCAGAGCTGCACATAGATGTTTCCATGAACCTAGGACCTCGAATCTGGGCTCTACGTGTCCTTGCCTATTGATCAGGCTTAAACTCATAGTCAAAATCATCAGCCCTTAGTTTCTGTACACCGTATAAGCTCATTACAACCTTGAGGTAAATGCATTAGGTAAACCTCTTCTAGTGAAGTAAAGCGCTTGCCTTTTGCAACCTCATATTTGCTGTAGGCAAAGAACATACAGTAACTGAGTGGGGAGTCTGAGCCCTTTGAAAGAACTGCAAAAAACTGCAGGCCAAGGAATGCCACAGTCCTCGGTTGGAGACCAGGACGGGAATGGTGTTCCTCTTGTCCTTGCAGACTCCAGATTGCAGGAGGTAAATTTAGAAAAAACAATGGCACGTAGGGAGGTAGAAGCCCAAAGAAGTGTTTGGAATACTGGATTACAAGACAGCCCCACACTGCCATGCGCACGTTTCTTTTCCAGCTTGGTAACACAGATGCTAAGTTGCGTTACCATTTCTCCTGAACTGAAAAAGGAATGAGGCCCATAGTAAGATCCCATCTGTTGTAACTGAATCTTCTCTCTCACCCAGCTCTCCAGGAAGCAACCAGAACTCGGCTGGAGAACATCTTAGTCCCTGAGTCATTCCCAAGAGCAGATTCCCTCTCACTTTGTGAGAAGGCGCCATGATGCCAGTGCACACAGAGTACAATGCTCAGTGTTACTGGAAGCAGTTCAAAGCATTCATGTATTCAAATAACACAGCATCTATGATGATGATGCTTTACTACAGATAAAAGACCTCAAATTTGTTAACAAATATACTCTACAAATGTATACTTTACAATTTAATCTGAAACTGAGTGTTATTTTTATGTAACACTTCCCAGAACCCTGGCAAAAATGACAGATCAGAAGCCATGATTTGTAATTAAGTTATTTGTTTTTGCATTGTTCCTCCTCTCAGGCAAGACTTAGGTAAGATGCTAGAACTAGTAAAGACGTTCATGTTCTGGAAGTTACATACTTGTATATACATGACTTGTAGGTTCCTGGTTCTCAGAGTGTGGTCCAGATGCCCACTATAGGTATCTAGATTCCTTATACTAGGCAGAGCAAAAAGGGATCCAAAACATATCACTGCCACCCCGTTTCAGTTGAGCACTTCCTGCAGATGCAGTTGTGTCATATTTACTGCAGTCCTGGTGATTCCTGCATTTAGTTCTAGGCTGTGCAGCTCCAGCGGGAAAGATGGAGGGTACTTATGTAGGACAGGTACAAGGGTCTCTGATGGGGACATTCTGTAGCTGTTTTGAACAGTGGAGGCTGAGGAGGGTACAGAACTTGGTTTCCCCACTTTTATACTAGAAGTGGATATTAGTCCTTTGTATTTTATGAAGCCTTCATTCTTCCTAAGATAGGTTAGGTGCTCCCTGAGAGCAGCTCTTGGATCGGATTGTTTAGAGGAGTTAGCCTAGTTTCTGGATTTGAAATGGGTACAGCAGAAGGTCATCAGGCTGGAATAGTTCGACATGTTCAAAACATCAGAATTCTCTGCAGAAAGAATGACAAATAACTCTATCTATATAACCGTTTTCATCCTTACCTGAACCAGGCAGCTATTAGGTACTCCTAGTATTAGTGTTATCTGTCCTTTAGTTGTTGCTAAAGGGAAACGTCACACATAAAAGTAGCAGGAAGAGTCTTGCACCTTTTGACTTTGCTACTTAGATACCAAATTGATCCAGGCTTTTGAAAATACCTCTTCTTTACCCATGCAGGGGGTAAAAGGGCATCTCAGTTATTTAGCTTAAATGTTTGTTTGCTAAATATTTCAATTTGATTTCATTTGCATCAGATAGGTGAATGTAACTGACTTACTGTGCTGTGCCAACTTCAGTGAAAACAGGGGGGTTGAGCATGAGATTCAGAGTTTTCTGCAAGCCATTGGGATTCAATATTCTACCAGATGATTCTGGTAGACAGATGGTTCACACCCATGAATACTAGATTCCCAAATTACCCATAGTCTGGTTTATTACATCAGACAGTACTTTTACAAGACACAGATTTTCATAGCGACAAAAGGATTCGTAAGATTTCAGGTTAGTTCATAGAAAGCAATTCTGATTACTGACTGAAAAACTAAAAGTTTACACAAAACTTAACATAAAACCCCATTCACATTTAAAACATATCATGATTTAGTTACTGAAAGAAACTCATGCTCCTTCTAATACCTACCTTATAATATCAGCATGGGTGTAAGAGAATTGGAATGCGTTCCTTCTTGCGCGTCAACAGGATTGTTAACTGTGTTCCAGTTTGCATTTGTGCAAAAAAATCAATGGGTTTATTTAGATAGAACAAATGAGGTCATAATTTTAAGTTAAGGGGATTTAATGAGTAATTAAGGCTCTGTTTTATGCTGAAAAGTATTTATGTCTGGTAGAGAGCCATGAGGAGAACAACCAGCTTGACTAATATTGAGGTGAGTTCACAGCTGAGAGGAAAAAAAATGCTAGTAAAATGAGAATGTTTGAAAAGGAACCATTGACAAAAAGTAAAAATGGAATTCTGCAATGCCTTTTTTGTAGTCACTTTTCAAAACAGAAACATCATGTGCTAAGATTTACTTTTGCACTTGTAAAAATGTGTTAATAATTCTTCTAGGTTTCAATGAAAGTTACTTTCTTTTCTTTTACTGCAGATTACAAAAGCATCAAGAAGGAGTTTAAATGCTGGTTTAGCCTACTCAGAAAATCATCAGATTCGTGTTTCCCAGCAAGACTACAAACTATTCCGAGCCCTCATTGTGTTGATGATCTCTTTCTTCATCATGTGGAGCCCAATTATAATAATTATTCTTTTAATTTTAGTCCAGAACTACAAACAAGATTTAAATATTTTGCCATCAGTTTTCTTCTGGGTAGTGTTATTCACTTTTGCCAACTCTGCTGTCAATCCAATTTTGTATAATGTTGCCCATTTCAGACGTAAATGTCAGGAAATTCTTCTCTGTTGTACAGGGAGTCCTGCAAGGCATGGGGCTGGTACGGAAACCACTGCAAGAAGAAGTAACCCTGAACACCCAAATTTGTCTTTGGATGTTAATGTCTACACTATCCCAGGTTGAATAGGTCACTATGTTATAGTATTATATGCCAGAAAAGGAAAAAAAAAGCTAAATCTGTATTTTTAATTCCTGCAGGTAAAATTCTCTTGACTTCACTGCTTTGCCTCAGTAAGATTTGGACAATTTAATGCAATGTATTGAATTCTCCACTTACACTGTAATAAATAAGAATATGGCAGTGAACTTGGTGAGTGTAAAATAGTTGAAATAAGCACTTACCAGACAAATTAATTTCTATGAGGGTACGTTTTCAGTTGGCATAAATGTCATTAACTTTAATGAAGTTATAGTGAATTTATATCAAGAGGGCACCTGATCCATTTTTACTCCATTTTCTACTGAGTAAGAGAGATCAACTTTCTAGTGGAAATGTACATCCTCAGAAAGTATCTGCTCTTTTTTTTCGATCCCATTTAAAAAAGGCATTGATTATACACTTAGATAGCTGACGGCCTGAACGTAGGTTTGGGCAGTCTAACCAATTTCGTGTAGGAAACAAGATGATAAACGTATTATCACCAAGTGAACGACCAGTTTGGTTCCATCTCAAATTAAAAATATGGACATCATGCCTGTTAATTTATAAATAAAGAATAAATAAATACATGTTTACTTGTCATGTGTAAAATAGTTCTTTAAAAAAGATGCATATTTTTTATGTCTTCAGTAGTCATATAATAAAGTTAATCAGTGATATATAGGGTCACTGAAATTCCTTCCTCCTTTCTAAAATGCTATTGGGAACGATTTCCAGTATTTCCTAGAAAAAAGATGACATTGTATTTGAAAAGAAATTAAAAGTTTTAGAAAGCAAATACATATATTTTGGGTTTTTTTAATTAAAACTCTTTAGTTAGAAATTGAAATGACTGAAAAAAGAAACATTAAATTCTTAATTATTGCCATCTGTCACCAATTCAAAATACTGCATTAAGATAACGATTTACTAATAAAACCAATGTCTACATATGTACAGATGTGCATACAAAACAATTGCATCCCCTGTAATCCAAGTTTATTAAAATGTTTCATTGGTGTATTAACAAGATGAGCTACACAGCTCAGATAAATATACTCAAAATCTAAATGAAGCCGTTTAAAATGTTTTCAAGAGAACACCCAATCAATGTGTTAACTTTACATCCATCGTGCTGTTACATGGTTTCTTTCCATAGTTTCGGATCTCTTTAAGAGCAAAATCCTGAAACACACAAAAACCAAAATTTTGTTTTTCAACCACACTAGACAAAATTAAAATATACAAACTTTCACCAAATTTAAAATGCATACATATCTAATTTCTTTAAAATGCTCTTGAGTCCAGCAGCCTGTTACTTGTAAGGATAATGCCAGTACCGTGCTCTGCCGTCTATAATTTCAAAGAATTTTTAACTCGGTACAAAACAGGAATTCATCCAATCTGGTACACCTGTCCTAAGCATTTTAATACTTTAGCAAACAAGGTACTGGATAGATCAGTGATAAAAGACTTATTTATTTACTTTAACAAGCTTCAAATTATTTGCCTTTTAAAAATTATTAATTTAAGAATGTCTTTCAACAAAATAAGAATCTCCTGACCTCCAAAACTTCTAATGGCAATAGTAAATTAGCTGAAGGAATATACCACTCTTTAATTCACAATTTTTGCTTCTAGTAAATGCTAACAGCAGATTCAGCTTTCAACTCTACCAACATGATGTTGTATTGTATTTACAAGTAGTCCCACTGTGGTATCCACACTCACATTACATAACTTAAAGTGACTTGAGCTGTTACTCAGAGAGACTAAGCCTGATCCATATTTGGAAAGGAGCTACCAGCAGAAATGCAATGTAAGTTACAACCAAAATACTCATAATTTTCTAGGCTTCGCTTTTGCCTTAAAGAGAGAGTATAAAAAGAACAGATACTTTAGATATTTTTTCTATCAAGGTAAGTTTTGTACATCTACTAGGGTTTTTTTTGAGAACTTGAGTACAGTATTAATTTAAAAAACTAATGAAAAGTCCTTGGGGAAAAAAATTAGCTTCAGGACATAGGCAAAGTATGCACAATTAGAGCCTATTCTTGCAGCATCTATTAACATCAGTCAGAATTTTAGCACAATAACAATGACCTGAATGCAGGTCAGTACAGACCATCAAAGTTGGCTTTTTTGGCTACTAATTCTGTAGCTCTTAATAGCAGAATTAAAACTAAAGCAGCAAGGCTTCCAATCCCACACATAAGAAATAAAGTGAATTTTGTAAGAGTTTCTGATACAAAGCTTTCAATGAATGTTTTTTTCAGTTTAACTCACAGTCATTCTCTCATTCCCAAATGTACTTGCTTTGCAGGAACTTTGGCTTAATGATACTGGAGAATTCAGAATCAACTAACACTGCAGTAATTATAGGTCCTGATCACAGTAAGGGGAGAATGCAAATTGCCGGCTTTAAGTTTCATTTATACTTTGGTGCTGGGCTCATAAACTCTGGCATAATCCTCGATAAAAAGCAGACAGCATTAAGGACCCAGGCTACTATTTTTCATTTACAAACAGTATGGAACTCACATAGTCTTATCAGACACTGCACTCAACACCTAACATCTGAATATAAATTAGGATAGCAGACACAGAATACAGTACTCGGTGCAACTTGGTAGACTTGATATTTCTATAAAAAACTAGAGGCAGCATGATTGACTTTTAAATTAAGGTTGGAAAGTCAAAGAATATTTAAGGCTGAGCTTTCAAAAGACATTTGGAGCTTTTATTTTTAAATTAGACTATTGGTTCTATATTCTGTGAAAAAATACAAGCATTCTATTATATAGAAGTTCTGAGATATTTGAAAAAGTTCTACCACAAATTATGAATAAATGAATATATTAAATTTTTCCTTTTGGTTTATACTTTCTTACAAAGATTGACAAGACCTTTATCGCCTTGCAAGCCTCACATAGTGTAGAAATAATAGAAACACATATTCCACCATGCTGAATCAGACCAGTACTAGCCCAATATCCTGATTTTGCAGTGGGATAGTACTTTCTCTGGGTTTGACAGAAATGCGAGGAACTAGCATAACACATGCCTCTCAAAGTCATAGCACAACAGCTGTATTATCTACACTTTATCTTAGATTTAATACAAAAATGTTCCTAATCATCTCATTATTTTGTTGTCTCATCTTCAGAAATTTTTATTCTTGCTCTACTTCATTTGAAGAGCAGTGAGTGCAGCATTCAAAACAAGGAAGTATCATCAATTTATATGACATTGCTTCTTTTCTGTCCTACCCTTTATGCAATCATACACATCATTCACAAAAGCCAATTTCATTTGCATTTATGCTGTCTCTTAGTCTTGACTGCCTTAAATCTCAACTGTTTCTTATGTTGCTTCCAAATTCTCTTTCAAGACAAAATTTTTATTTTCATCATTGTCAGGCACTTTTTCTAGGTCACTAATCAGTATTCTAAACACCACTCACCTTAGTAGATATTTCAGGCACCCTGTTATCAGCATACCTACTTTACAACATGGCAATGTATTACTCTCTGTTTATAGATCAGATGAACAGGTAATAGAGCCACAAGAGCTGACTGTGCTCATCTGTTCTGACTTTCTTTACAATACACAAAAGTTCCTTCAGTCAATCCCAGTTTATTCTAACATGTCATTCAGAAAAGCCTTTAATCTTGATTTACAGATTTCAGTGATGAAGAACATACAACAGCTCTTGGTAAACTGTTCCAAAGGTTAATGACCTTTGGAGTTAAACAAATGGCTATTTATTTCTGCTCTGAATGTGTCCAGTTTAAAGTTCCATCCATTTTAATTTATTATTCCTATGTTTGCAAGTCCTTTATTATCCAATTCCCATTGCTTGTGTGGGCAAGCACAGACTTTGCTCAGGTCAGCCTTTAACCTCTCTCTGATGAGAAATGATCAAGGTCTTTGAAGCACTCGCTAGAGGACACATTTTACAAACTTTCCATCATTTTCTCTGCTCTTCTTTGAAACCTCTAATTCATCCTTGGTACCCTTTCCGGTTATGATTATCACCAGACGTGACATAGCAAGCAGACCTACGCCAAGCACAGCAGTCTCATATGAGTCTGTAAACTCATCTTTTGCATCCTCAGTTTATGCATCCAAGAATCACATTAACTCTTTTGGCCACAGCATTACGTTGGGAGTTCACATTCAGCTAATTCACCAGTCAAGCCTTCTGTAGATATTGTGTCTTCCAGAATGCAAGGCAGGGTGGGGACCAGTATGCTACTATTTTATTCATTCTAAATATTCTGATCTGTCATCTTTATTCTTCACTATTCCCCACTCTGGGTGTAATCTTTACCAGTAAGTATATTACATTTTCTTCCAGATCATTGACTAAAGTAGCATAAATTACAATTTGGCCTTTTCTAATGTGCCTGAGCACAAGTGAGCTAATCTGTGTCCTTCCCTGTCTTGCAAGCTCAGCCTGGCTATATGACTCAAGATAGGGTCATACTTCCAGTATGAGGGATATGTCCCTCTTCCACAACCCTTTGTGAAATGGTTGGCATGAGGACCTGTGAGAAAGGGTCTGCTATAAGGCATCCTTTCCAAGTTTTCTGATTTTCCTTAAAAGCCTTTTGTGAAGAATTTTTCAAAGAAGTTTTTGAAAACACATTCTATTCCCTTCAGCAACTATTTTGTTGAGGGCAAAGAGTTCTGATTAAAGAGGCAAAATTTCTCTTTACAGCAACCATGAAGTTTATCCTTACTATGTTTACTCATACTACATGGATGTGTTTTACAGCTTCCTCTAATTACTGTTTCAGCTGATGTGACATGCCGCATAAAAAGCTATATGCACCTTAGCTCTCCTTCAGATAAGGGAAGTAAAAGTTGGAAATAACTTACTACAAGCTCCAGTTTTCAAAAGACAATATTACAGCCACTAAGTAAAAGACTTCATGCATTTGCTATTTAATGAGCAAGAGACTCCCAGTGCTTTAGTCATTAAACCCTGAAATGAAATTCTTCAGAAAAAATTGTTCTTACCATTATGAACAATAACTCTGTATTTTCTGTCCAAGCAGAGGTCTATCTGCCTTTGTCTGACAATTTTCTGTGCCCCTGGAGGCAATCCCTTGGGGTCCCGGGAGAAAACAAAGGAATAGCTATCAGCACAAGTGCCATCTTCATTTAGTTGGCGGCAGGAGTAATGAAGAGCATAGGTATCATAATCTGTGTCCACTACCCAGTGATCATCATCTGGAAGAAACCATAGCAAAGAAGCAAAGGTGTTAGAGACACAAGTAAAATCTGGTAAATATAAAGCGATTGGTGCCATAACTCTGTAAAGAAAATAATACTATGAAGATTGGTATAAATTATAACAGATTAATGTGTAGTTTATTCCTATGTCCAGTATTTAATTCCATGTTTTTGGGGGAATTTTTTTATAAAAAAAGAAAATAAACGTATTTATCAGGGACAGTGATGGAGAGAAGAGGAAATGGTTGGCAACACTGCTTCTGCTCTAACGTGGGCACAGAACAAGAGCAGCATGTAGAAATGCTAAAAACTGCCTTGTAAATCCATACCTGAATATCATTATAAAGTGTGGCAACAAACACAAAAAAGAACTGTGTATTAGAGTAGGTACCATGAAGTACAAAGGAAGTTTTCTTATTTTAACCAAAAAAGGGAAACAGTCAGACAGAAAATAGTTTAAAAAATAAATAGAGAAGCTAAATGTGGTCATGCTAGTCATGCTTCAGATTACTCAAAACCATAACTGTTCTCCTACCAGGGATGTTACTTAAACTGTATTTCTAAGGAAAAAGATTTTCATGCAGTTGCCACGTGCATTAGAGGTGTATTTGCTACAAGATCTATCATAAACCCTCTTCTCAAAACACAGTTACAATTTCAGAGAATTCTTAACTATTTAGGTAGGTAATCTGATAAATACCTGGTCACACAGACACCCTCTGCTAACAGAAGTGAACCTAGGTGTTTGCACTAAAAAGTGTCATCTCTGCACCTTCCTCTCCTGGAGCAAAAGAACCTCCCTTGCACCATGTCTGCGCTGCTGAAGGCAACACTCTATGTTCTCTTCCCCATCTCTCCTGTGGGTGGGGACCACAGCTTTTAGAAAGGTAGAGTCTGGGCTCAGCAAGCAGTCTGAAGGATCCATGAAAACATGATTCAGCAGCATGTTGTGAGAGGATTTGGCAACAATTCAAGACATCCAAAGCATTCTTTGTAACTGTGTTTTTGCAGAGAATGGAGCTCCAATCACTTCCAAATTCCACTTGCTTCTCTCAGAAGCAATCCATAGAAATGTCTTGAGCTACAAGTGTCTGAATCTCTATTTGGCTGAATAAACTAATTTTGCATAGGGAGTGACGACAGGAAAATGTGAATATATATATACTGGATCGTATTTGTTTCTTAAAACAGGCAAATCTCTACATTTGCAGACATGAGACCAAGCAAAATAACAGTAGCAAAATCCTCTTCCCTGCTCGACCAAGTCTGACGTTAGGCTTTTCAGAGAGAATGGAAGAATGGAAGCATCTGGTAACTGAGTTCTGAACTAAAACAAGACTTAAAATACTTCATCTGCCTTTCATTTCTTTCCAAACAGTGACCTTTGATTATATTGTTGGGTAACAAACAAAAGAAATACAAAGATATACAAAGGCATGGTCTTCACTTGTTTAAAGAAAGCCAACCAGCTGTTCCATATAAAAAACAGTGATTACCTTGTTCGCATTAAGGCTTTCCTGTATGATAGTTATTGCGTGTTTTAAGTGTGTTTAAGAAATCCAACACTACTTTTTCCTTCCCCAGCATGGACAGACAACATAACTAAGCTCCCAAGTAGTTCTGCATCTTCTGTAGCTAAGTACTCACTTCCTTTCTGCAGAAAAGAAGCAACACCCCAGTACTTCATCTTGAACTTGGCAGGATCCTGTGTGTCAGTGAAAGAGCCAATCATGTCAGCACAGACATCCCAGTTACTGTAGCCAGAGAGAAAGAAAACATCACATTCAAACTTAACAGCCCAGATTCGGCGCGACTATGTGACTAGCACAGGGATAGCAGGTAGGCTTAGACCACCAGTAAGCGAAGCGGAAGCTTAGTGAAATGGAACAAGAGGAAGATTGCAAAGAGCTTACTTGAAGAGTCTGACTCTGCCCTTTGCGGTGGCACTCATTTGTCCATTCTCATCTACAGTGAACTGGGCTACCACATTGTCCTGCAGAAACAGCCCCTCAGGATCTTTTTTTGCCATGGCATACCAGGTGCCACTGTACTGCAAGGAAATAAGAAATGCTGCAGTTAGACCTAGAAATACGGAAAACATTACAAACAGACATTACGAACTAGAAGACATGACAGAGAGGAGGACATCCAGATCTTTGACACCATGCCTCAAAGTTGTACCTAAGAAACGAATCTAGCGGTTCCAACAGCATAAACCCACCAATATGTCCTAGTGCAGCCAGGGTTTGTGAAAGAATTGACATTTTTTGGTATCATATTTGTATCTGCAGTTCTCCAGTATTTAGAATACAAAATTTGGTGGGAAGAGGATAACAACTGGCAGATCTTGACAGATCTATGTATCAATGTTTTTTTTCTTGCAATGATGTCTGAAAATGCCAGAGTATTAATTTTTCATAGAAACAACCAAGTCACTACACTTTTGTTTAGACCATACAGTTTGAGACCAGCCTGCTAAACCTTAGTTTCTGCAGTATTCCTTTATCAGATATATCAGGATCCAGCATCTGTGGAGGTGTGGGCAACGTCACATACTTCTGCTGTTTCTCATTATTGCAGTCTGTGACTTTGAGTGAAAATGTGAACACACTGGTGCTATTGAATGCCAGATTTTGTAGCCCGGGAAAAGGAGCTAGGCAAGACATCACAGATCCAGGAAAGAAAGAAGTTTTACCCTGGTCTTGTCGAAGTTCTCCTTGACTTTGAAGCTGCTTACTCGGCAGTCCTGCTCCGCCGTGCTGCTGCCCAGCAAGACCAGTGCCAGCAGCAGCAGCCAGGGCAGAGCTCTCTCCATGTGGGCCATCCCGTCCCTGCAGCAACATCAAACAGACAGAGAATAGCGTCAGAAACAGGCTCTGTCACACAAGCAGGGAAAGGAGGAAGGTTGCCCTGACAGGTCCCCAGGGCATTGTGCAGCTTTCCCTGATGCATGCACAGGCAAGGCACCCGGTTGTCCCCAGCCCACCACAGGAGGGGCCCTTACAGACAATGCTGATTCTCTATAGACTCTTGAGAGCCCAAGCGTTGATGGCAGTGGCGGGGTGCCCAGACAGGGAATGCTTTATGTAGTCCTGGGGCTTTCGCAACCCCCTGAGGTACAAAGCCAGCATTGGAGGGGGAGCAGGGAGGCGGGTTGATGCATGCTGCAGACTGGGGCCCCTTCACAACAGCCTCTTGTGTAACACCCATGGGCTTGGGTGGTCTTTGACCCCAACCTGCAGCCAAGCAGGGGCTAGGAGCAAATGTCTCTCTTTGGTTTTCCTAACCCAAAGGTAGAGCTCACACCTGGGGGAAGGGGTGTGCACATGTGTGGGGAGGACAAAGGAAAAGAGAGGCACCCCATCTTTGCACAGGGGAGAGTGAGCTGCCTCCACCTCCTCTGTGATTTTACACACTGCAGTCCAAAGTTCTTCTTACCCAATGTGCTCAACCCAGTTACAAGGTGCAGACTTGTTTCCTTCACCTCCACAAATTCCTTTCCTCTCTTCTCCTGATAAACAGTGGCAAACATCATACTTGCAAGTTTCTGCTAATGTTTCTGAAAGCTTGATCATGCCAGAACCTCTTCAGGTCCTCATGACTGGTTCCCTCTTGCTTCCCAAAGGCTGTTTCAGGTGCTAAACCATCTCATGATCGGCTCCCAGGGACAGGAACTGGGGCACTGCAAATCTTCAGGAAGACAAAAGAGCACTTTTGTGTGGTACTGCAAAGGTGGCCAGACATATGTGTGGCCTGCAAATACCCAAGTGCATGTATGCACCACATCTGGCCCTTTTGACATCAATTTTAAATCAGAGCTTCCAGAATTTCTATTCTGGTTTTGGCAAATTGTTTTCAGTTATATAAACCATTATTGTTTTCTCCTATCCAGGCAAGTTTTGCTGTCTCTCAGTCAATATTTGTTCTATAGTTTCAACATCTTTAGGAAGCATTAGGGAAAACCTGTTAATTATTTCCTAGACATGTAACCAGAGCAGGATAGGAATGATTGTTACCAAGAGAACTAGTTCACCTACTTTTTTCACCTCCCAATTTTGAAAGAATAAAGGCAGAAGCCTGTTAATTGAAAGGTCTGTGTTCATTACTTTAAGAATTAAGCAAAAATATAATTTAAATACGGAGATATGGATGTAGTATAAAAAATACTTCAATAGTAGCTGATGTACAGAATTAAAACAATTTATTCAGCATGGTCCTTCCCAGAAATTTACTTCAGCCTTCTATCCCTTTCATATATTCACAAAAATATTAAACTTGTTACTGTTGCTGCCCTTTACAATCTTTTTCATACGTAATGCAAACAGTGGCACAGTCTGTTTGATTTATCTGTTATTCTTTATTTTCTGCTTTGTGTTGGAGCCTTTTTGCATAGAGAGTATATTTTTGTTCACTTTCTCAAACACCAAATGCTCAGTTCCAAGTCTGCTCTGAAGCCTTTGATTCCCTGGATAACATCAGGCACTAAAAATGCCATTATGTTGAATATTAAGCTTCTACCTGGAGTAAAGAACATATTTAACACAGGTAACCAGAAAGGTTGATGCATATTAATTGTCCTGAAACTTTCAACAGTAGTCTTTCAATAAGCCAACATTTCCATTTTTAAATTGAGATTTTCAAGTTTGCTAATTCCCACAGAGACTGAAGAGAAACAGCAATCTATGTCCCTCTGGTGCCTTTTAGAACCTTGCTCCAGCCCCTGGCAATGGTGATGCGAGTTATTTATTTGCATTCTTACAGAACTTTTACAAAACACTCACTAGTCCTAATATATGAATTCGTCATACTTACAAGATCAAAATCAGCATGGATTTTCTTTGTTCAGTGTCTCACATGACTGATAGTAGGAAGAGGAATTATAGCTTAATTGATAACCTTTAAATCTATTACTTTCTTTAATACCAAAGAAAACAATTATTTCTTTATTCTCTGCCAATTTGTGAAATATTATTATTTCTCCTAAGTTTGTCCTCTTCAAAAACCTGTATACTGCTTTATATTCCCAGAGACATTCTTTCAGGATCAAATCCATTCCTATAAAATTTTGTCAATAACATAATTATCCATGAAAATTCTGTGGCAGAGGTTTTCAAAGGAGTCTACAGTCACTCATCCAAATGAATTGAAACCCAATGAGATTTGACCACCTCTGAAAATCTAGGTCAGTAGTCCTGTTATACTTATTGAATGTTGACCTCAGCAGTTTTACAGACAGAGACCAACCCAGGTTTCACTGAAACAAAAATTTAATTCTGCCAATAATTTTTAATAAGATCAGTTCTAAATATGTGCAAGAGCCATTACCGTCCCTTAAATTAATCTGAGGTCATAAAAAAAAAAATCAGAAATGTGTAATTTTGTATTAGCCATGTCACAACATTTCTTCAATTGTGTGCCTCCACTGATCTCTTCAATGTTTGGCAACTCATATCTGGTGGAGGTGCTTGGTAGAGACTTAGTAATTATAACTTTTAATTCATTCAGCTCCTCAAGCCTGGGATCCCTACAAACTCTAGGCAATGCCTGAGAAAACTCTTCTTTTGAACCGTTATCATTGTGGATTTGTGGGAGCGCAACTACAGTGAAGTCACACCAGTATTTTCCAGTCAGATTTCAACAACTGCAGAAGAGGATCTGGTCAAGTCAGTAAAATTTGAAGGTTACATAGTAAAAGTTTGGCTCTGTGCCTCTTCTGGTTTAGTTATACTTCGAACTCTGCCTACCTGAGACACAGTTTACATTAATGAAGGCCTATCACAGATGCAGCTAAAGCACTTCTTTGGTTCAATGAGACAAGCTTTTTAGGCAAAAAGGCTCCTCTGTTATGTCAGTTACTTCTGGATTGGGAGTGTACTGGAGAAGGGATGGAAGGTTGCTGGCAGACTAGCATTGTTATGGCAATTCAAGGGTGAATTTTTTCTCAGTCCTAACAGATGTAGCTATGCCAGCACAACTAGGTAAACTCATAAACAGTGTAAACTTTGCCTCAGTTAATCATCATTTGGATTGACTTGGGCTATGGGTTTGGTTGAGAAATGATGCTAGTGAGTGATCCTCATCCAGATCTTTTGAACCTGGATATACTCCTTGCAGATTTGTACTTCTCATGTGAACAGAAAGGAACAGGATTTGGGCCAGGATTTCAATTGATCAAGTCAATGACATCAAATGATTGCTGGGTTCTGGGAAAGCTCAGACAATTAAATTTAAAAGAATTATTAAAATATTGATAACACATAAACATGCAAATAACCTCTAATGTAGAGCATACATTTACAAAACTTGTGGCAGATTCAACACCAAGCTTGATAAATTTCATATATGACTTCCCATTCCGATGTTTGAAGCTGGCAGCATATTTTGAATACGATAGAAAGTTTTTTAAAAGTCAGTATGTATTTCTTGGAACCATATTTAATTGAAAGAGAAAAAAGTCTTCTTTTGCCAAGAGGTCATAAAAAAGGGGCTAACTTCTGGCAGTGATTCTGTGATTGAAATTTTTTTACATTAATAGCCTGTAAAAATCTGCAATATTTTCCATCAGGAATAGCAACAGAAAATACATAGAAAAGGTCAGATTTTCAAATGAAATGGCAGAAAAAAGCTTTCATTGTAGGAGTTATTTTAGTTTCATTTAGGACTTTATAATAAAAAGGAGGAAACAAGAGTCAAATTACTATTTAAAACATTTTTAACACTGCAACATTGAAGCTTTAAATATTAAAAGAACTAGAATTTTATTTGTGGTCACAAGAATAAGTCTAGCTCTTAGGAGAAAGCTGGCTTAAAGAACTGGTAATAGGAAATGGAGCATCCATTTCCAGCCAGACTGCATATAAACTGAAAGACTTTTTGCTGTCTTCTTATGGTTATTTATTTATAGAGTGCCATTCACAAACACGGGTATCCATTAAACTCTTAGAGGCAGATTTTTCAGGGGAATGAATGACTGCTGTGTGCACAGAGCAGTGGATCCGATGTAGCCACTGCCCTGTGAAACCAGACTCGTATTAACAAGTGACAACAAATGCCATGAGCTGAGCCAAGGAGCTCCGTGTACTTTGTAAGGGACAGCTATGTACCCTGTCACCATCACAACTGTTCCTCTTGGTGGCACTCTGAGTACAGAGGTCAAGGACAGAATGGAATTGAAAAGATTGGCCTTTGCACCATGCCAGCCTGTGTGCTACCTCTTTTTGTAATTTAATGACGTGACATTCTGCATAAGGAGTAAATTTACATTGAACTCTTTATGAACAGTATTTAAACAAACCTAGTTTAAAATGGTACCTTTATTCTCTTTAGCAAACCTTTGTGAGGATTGTGATACTGAATTGCAATGTTTTTCTAGACGTATTACCAAAATGGAAACAACTTGAAACAAAGATGTAGTTTGCCAATAGGCTGGCCAGCCCGGTGAGGAGTACTTTAAACTATGAATGATGAAAGACACAGACATACTGGAGTGAGTCCAGCAAAGAGCCACGAAGACCATTGAGCCATAAGAGAATCTGACAAAAGGAGAGACTGAGGGAGCTGGGACTGTTGAGCCTGAAAAGAGGGCTTGGTGGGATCTTATTGACTGTATAAATATCTGGCAGGAGGGTATGAAGAAGGCAGAGTCAGACCCTTCTCAGCAGTGCTGAGTAATATTCTCAGTAATGAAAAATGGTCAGGTAACCTAAGATCACCAGGGAGTAAATGGAGAGTGGATGAGATTACAAGGCTGCTGTCTTTTGCTCAGCCCATATACTAAAATTCATGCCAAGCTACCAAGAAACCCGTGCTCATGGTCAAAGCTCCAGTGCATCTGGCAACCCAGGTTAACCTCTTGATGCTAGATTGGCCATTTACTTCAGGAACTCTCCCCTAGAAGCTAAAATATCTGTTGACTACTTAT